GGAACTTTGAATTGGAATAGTTTGGTTCACCGTCATCAAAAAATAACGAAAATATAGCGTCCGTATCCACAACAAATACTCTCCAAGTGATCTGAGTTACATTGACCTAGTGTTAAGCATAGCGGAGTTATGCACCCTTATCATTATACGCGTATGACCTCTCTGTCGTCGTTTGACGTCGTAGAAGAAAATCCATTTTTGACATTTATTGCGAGTCATTTTTAATGTTGAGCGCATAATATTATGCATAAGCACATAAATCCAATTCATATACACTTATGTCGTTCAGATATCAGGCTGTATTTTCTTCGCTCACACTTTCCGTAAAGATGCCAAAATAAAAAATTCGTAGCACAGTGCTTTTATCGGTGCGCGATAAAAAGCGGAGAAATGTAGTGTTTTTTGACGCATAACATAAATTTGGACAACATTTAGCAAGGTCTATTTCTCAAACAGCCGAGGTAGTTGCACTTATATTTATACCAACGGATAGGAAATTTAATATTCTACACTTCTGTGTAATTTTATAGCCTTACGTAGATCCAGGACCACGCGAGAGCAATTCTCGCACAACGTTCACTTTTCAAAGCGTATGAAAATGTGCGCCTGAAAAAAAACTCGGCATCAATTAAATATGTTCTGGGATCATGTGAGGGAGTCACGATTCATACATATTTTTTTACGTTAATTTTTATCCGCAATATCACATCAATCTTCCTTGAATGAGTATTTGAACTATAAATGACTTCAAGGTACAAGTGCTGCACACTGCATATGAATATGTAACGTGTTGATATAGAAATATGATAGCCAGCGTTATCAGTAGGTGTGTATGCTGTCTGTCAGCATGTCAGCATGCTATCCGTCAGCATGCATATTTAGACCTAAATGCGGTCTCCTCCGATATAGCAATGACAACAAATTGATCATCATGAATCGTGTGTTATACAGATAACTGGTACATTATTATTATAGGATATTTATATAGCGCACATATCCACGCAACTAGTGCATGATCGATATTTTCTCCCTCGATCATTGGATGTCAAGCTCAACGGCATATCGTATTATCAAATCTCAATTCCATGGGGAATTGCAGCCACTAGGCGCACCGAGATAATTATTGTGGCCTTTCATCCTAACGAGGTACCGTTTCACAGCTGGGTGGACTGGGACACACATAGTCACAGCACTTTGTCCAAGTTCACTGCACGTTGCTGTACCCGCAACTAGGTGTGTGCACGTCTTCATGTGGCCACAATCTGGTCATATACCAACGGATTCGCGGGTTCTTTTAAGTGCACAGGGTTGTGTACTATACACTAGGGGTTGTGACAACACGGAAAGAGTCTGCACACAAAGTTGACTCTAAGGTTTTTAAACGCGGTCACAGGTGGGCTCAATCCCGGCACCTTAAACGCGCTGGATCAGTAGCCTGGCGCCTCAGCCAGCTCGCCCACCGCGCCCCGGGGAACAAATAAGGGAACACCACTTCATAAGTTTTTATCAATGCGATATGGCTGTACGTTACGATGAACACTCACTCACTCACTCATTCACCTGACGTAAATGGAATACTGTTAAAAGCGTTGTTAGCCGTAACTCACTCCCTCACTGCCTCTCATTCACTCACTCACTCACTTATATGCTTTGTTGGAGTACTGCAAGGCTCCATTTTGTTATCAGAGTTAACTGTGTGGCAGCTTGGATAACAAATGTAGGTTGTCTTACATACGTGTTGTTTACGTAAGTACACATATCAAGTGTGACAAAACCTTGAACACTGCGCTGCTTATCAAGGCACACTGAAAGAACTCGCCTGTACAGGTGAGTGAGTGAGTTTAGTTTTACGCCGCATTCAGCAATATTCCAGCTATATGGCGGTGGTCTGTAAATAATCTAGTCTGGACCAGACAATCCAGTGATCAACAGCATGAGCATCGATCTGCCCGATGACATGTGTCAACCAAGTCAGCGAGCCTGACGACCTGATCGCCTCATACGACAAGCATGGTTGCTGACGACCGATTTATAACGGTTGATTTAGACCAGACAACCGTAATCAATATTATGAGTATCGATCTATGACGAAACCCTGAGGTAATGGAAGTCTCATATGTTTGTCAATTTTGTGAAATCCAGGAGCAGGATACTGTTGACAAACCTAGGAACAGATAAGGAGGGAATCGGGATTCAAAACCAGAATCATAAGTGTCAGACCTTCCCCGTGAACACAGCTTTGAAGAGCACAGTATAGTGTCAACGGCGCCACCCTAGTACACCCAGTGAACCATCGGGACGTTCTGGGATTCGAACCCCACATCATAGGTTTCTGATGTGTTCATGGGACACAACACTGCATATTAAATAGAATTCCATCCCCAAAAGGCGCCTACTGAACTCTCAGGAATATGTGGGACGGCCTGAAAGTTAAAGCGTTCGGCGAAGGTCTGGGTTCGATTCCGCAAGAGAGTACACTGTGTGAAATACACTGTGTGAAGTCCATTTCGGTTAAGGCGAGAATTTAAGGATGTCTACTTTTTTATTTTGAGGAACATGATGCTTTGGAGTATATTCTGACAAAAACTGTTCAACAGATAGCTTTATACGTATATGTGGAACAACAAAAGCGATAAGATAACACGGGAAGCCAGTAGATAAAATGGAGCTGAGTGGTATCATATCACCGCCTGGCAAGAATAAGGCTTGTTATCCTAAACTGTCTTACCCCTGAAGCAACGCACCAAACACAGCTGGTACGAAAGCACGACTGCGCAAATATCATGCAGTGCAGCTGGACACTATGACATCACGCAAATATCATTCCATTCAGTGCTGGACACTATGACGTCGCACACATATCATACCAGACAGTGCAGCTATTTAGTCATAGTGCCCATATGTAAATATAGCAGGTCAAGACTAGATATTAACCAGTCTGAAGATCCGGGTTAGAATTGACCTTCAGTAACCCATGCTTGTCGTAAGGGGCGACTAACGGGATCGGGTGGTCAGGCTCGCTGACTTGGTTGACACATGTCATCGTATCCCAGTTGCGTAGATCGATGCTCATGCTATTGATCACTGGATTGTTTGGTCGAGTTACATACCGCTGCCGACAGACCGAATATTTATGTGTGCGGCGTTAAACAACAAGCCATCCAATCAATAAGACAGTGTGTCAAACGGGGTCTCTTAAACCTCCCAATAGTCATATGTCCCTTAATGTTGAGCAATACACCAACAGCGTCAGCTTTTGGTTTCTTGTTTTCACTCTGAGGTACATTTGAGAATACTCTTCCTACAACGACTTGAAAGTGGTTCCACGTGCTCATAACTAGTTTTATCAATGTTACAACATTCAGGGCCTCAGTAAAGCTTTCGAGACACGTGAAAAACACTTCTAAATATGATGCATATGCTTTCCATAATTCCATCTGTATTAGGCCGTATTTGTGGTGTAGTGATTAGAGCGTCCGCCCGGAGAGTTGAAGGTCGCGTGTTCGATCCCCGGCCGCATCATACCAAAAGACGTTAAAATATGGTACTTGTTGGTCCCAGCCTGGCGCTCGGCATTAATGGCTACAACAAGGACTGGTCGGCTCGGAGTCAGTATAATGTGTCTGAGTGGGGCATTCATGCTTAACTGCTGCATGGTATCTCAGTGAGCTAGCACTATAAAACTATCTTAATTTTGGGCTAGTACAAGCAACCACACATACACATGCATGTACGTCGTCATATGAGCGAAAGATTCTTAAGTACGACGTTAAACCCCATTTCACCTCACCTCCAGTCCATCTGTATTATATGTCCCGTGATTTGACGTGCCTTTGCGTGTGTTTGTGATAGACGTCAGTCTTAGGGTAGGACGTGTTCACGTTCACAGCTGTCATCATTACTTTTTGGTGGTGAGTCGTCATTCCAATCATGCTTGTGATGTTGTGGGAATGCAAAACGGAGAGATAATTAACGATTATAGAAATGGATTGGGTCGTTTCTATTTACATGTAATGTATCGGTGAACATATTCCGTAGATAATCAGCAGAAAATAATAAAAAAGATCTGAGAGCAAACTATTCATAATTATCTATGTGAACTCCTTCCACCGAGTAACCATTTTCTGTATTCTATGGCAGGTATCTGAACCTTATTTGGGTTCAATTATATGCAACATCTCCCAATTCATATGTGTAAAGGGGCGACGGGGTAGCCTAGTGGTTAAAGCTTTGCCTCGTCACGCCTAAGCCCCGGGTTCGATTCCCCACATGAGTGCAATTTGTGTAGCCCATTTCTGGAATATTGCTAAAAGCGGCTTAAAACTTAACTCACTCATATTTCTAAAAGCACGGAAGAGAACAAAGGGCAAAATCGAGGTGTTATTCCACACCATAGTGCTCAGCATGGAGTCTGAAATCCCAGGAAAGTGTATGAGTCCATCTCCGCTTCATTGCATCCATGAATCTTTGTGACAAAACGTGGTTTAAGTCCACAGGGAATATACTTTCACTAGTTCGGGTGTCTTTTAAACCATTGTGCATGTCATGTGTGACCATTTTCGCTTAATGTTTTTCTTGGAGAAGCTCTCATATTCATTTTTGGACAAGATATTCTATTTCCTTCTTTCAAATGTGTCCAATGCAATATCATCTTCTCGAAATAGTTCACGTAGATGCTCTTGACATCGATCGAAATCATGGAAACGAAAAAGCGATTTGGGATGTGGCACCGTTAACAGTAACTGGTAGTACATGACTTCAGTAGTTTGGTACATGCATTTCTCCAGAGGTTGTCTCCACAGCAAATGTTGAATGTGTTAAAAAATGTAAGAATATCCACAACTCTGCCACTAAGTTTGCCATCGATTCTCACTAAATCATTGATGTTCACTAGTGTTCTCTGTGTTTGTTTACACTGACAGTGACGGACGAAATATTTCTATTTTAATCACACGTATATGTTAATGACATATAGTTAGATTTCAGTGAAAACAGTCATCTGTAAAACACTGACATTTATTTACAAACTAAAAGCTGCAATCGTAAAAAAAAACCAAAACATTTGTTCTCGTTTTATGTGATTAATGGTTTTGTAAAGAAATGTATGATCATAGTCAGGGCCAGGTCAGGATCCATGATCTCAGCCAATGAAATATGAGGAAGGTGTTAAGACACTTATGTATCATAACGATTTGTTATCTTACCAGTTTATGAAATAACACCTGGACAATAAAACCAAAGCTTTGACACACAAAACAGAAGTTGACGAAATGAAAAGCGATGTTGATTTGTTCAGTTAGGTTTAGAGGTAAGGCTGGAGATCCTAACAAACATCTAGCCCATTTGGAACGGGGTCGGGTGGTCAGACTCACTGACTTGCTTGACACGTCATCCCAGTTGCATAGATCGATGCTCATGCTGTTGATCACTGGTTTATCTGGTCCAAATTCGATTATTTACAGACCGCCGTCATATATCTGGACTATTACTGAGTGCGGCGTTAAACAAGCATGCAGGCAAGCAAGCAGGTAAGCAAGCAATCCAACCAACAAAACAACACCTTTTTTGTTCGCCTCGCGTGACAAACACTGATATTTATGACCTATTCTGTCCCATAATCCCAATTAGCATTTTCTGGTCATATATCTTCATGCTGGTCACTAAAGGCGACCATGTGAATTGGGTGGTCAGGCTGAATGATTTGATCATTCCGTTCCATCGTATCAGACGTCCTTTATGGGTGCTTCTATGGACGATGTTACAACCGCCAGTCATTTCGTGAACTGTTACACGCCGTTTGCAGATATAGATAAAATTATATAAGACGTTAGACACAGAGAAGCAGAGCTAATATTTTTCGACTTGAAATCCTTGGTTTGTTTGTGGTATTGCCATATTGGGTGTCCATCCAGCGTTCATCATCTGATTGCCGCCGACCACGGATACTGTGTTCATTGGCACCTATACCATTCCGGGGATGGGCTGAAATAAGTTGAAGAGTCATATTCATGGACATATTAGATCAAGCTTCATCACAGACATCCTGTCTCCGTGGTGGAGTGGAAAATAACTCTGCCAGAATATAGAGAGAGGAAGGTCGGTGGTGCGACTCCCGTCTGTGTAATTATGAAAGATGTTTAAAGATTAAGGGTTAAAACAAGGAATGGTCGGCTTGGAATCAGTATACTGAAGCTGGTCTTATAGTGCTAGCCCACTGAGATACCATGCCGCAGTGAAGAATTTCTTTCTCCAGAAATGTTTTGCAGAATTTTTAATTTTTTTAGCAGCATGTAGCAAAATTGTCTTAATTCAGTACACATTAGGTTCTATCTTCGGATAGTTTAATATGAATTTATTAAATAATCTTTTCCCAATGAAAACAACTTAGAGTTGTAGGGTAAAGGGTTTTTAGAAGCAGCACACCACCCAAGAATTACAATACCTAACATAACATTAATCAAGACAAAACAAAATAAAGATAGTGATTTCTTTATAAAAGATGTATTCCCACTCTGTAATGCAAGTTGATGGACTTTGGGTTATCGCAGATTCGGGTTGTGTTAGCGACTTAATCATACTACACTGAGGCAAGGTGTCTCAATGTGCTTCCACTGTTACTCGTACAAGTACATACGACCACATGTCCATCCATGCATGTCACTATTATCTTGCAGTAATCTTGAAGACACATGACACAATAAATGTGTTCCTCTTTTTCTCCAAAATGTCCAAATTTTAACGTGAAGTTCTAGTGTTTTTAAAAAATGAGACCACGACAATCTGGACGGGCTACATTGTATGCTCTCGGAAATCGCCTGGGTGAACAATTACTTTTGATCTTAACCAATACAATTGTCCAGATAGCCGGGTTTCGGATAACCGAGTTTTCGTGAAAAGGTGTTCGGATTAATGAGGTTCCTGATTAGTGAGACTTACTTGTGGTCGACAGGCCAGCACACCGCCCAGTATTGTGATGACCAGTGTGAGGAGCCAACCAAGTATCATGCTGATCAATAATGCTGTACAGGACGGCGAAGAACCTCCTTGCAGTGCCAGTGCATAGATCGTCGAGGGCATCGCTAGACAGACAAAACATACCATCCAGAAGAGTGTGGGTCGAGTTGGATGCCGGTTCAGGAATGTTTCACATTATTTAAGACATGTTTCAACAGCACATATTCGCTAAACATAGTACAAGAACATTTCCAGTGGCAAGTAAGACAGGTATGACAACTTCTATATTTGATTATATACATGTAGTATCCCGCTCTTATTACTCATCAAATACAAAATTCCCATACAACAGATAATTTCCACTGGAGTTGGGCCTGTTTCGCGAAGCGCTACTTCCGATACTAAGCTGGTTCCCGGCTGCCTTTGCGATATGCGAGAAAGGGCCCAGCTTACTTCCGGTTTCCGGTGACAAGCGTATATTCAAGAACCAGTTCTGGTTCCAAATTGCGCGACCGCCAAATGTGCTTTTACTGACTTTAACACGCTAAGTTGGGGATGGTTAGATCGGAAATTTGTTATTCCTGCAAGTATTTTCGTTTCCTATCTGTCAATTGACAACAATGAGACCATTCAAAATGGTATTAAACATTTTTTTGTCACCGGAAGTACTAATGTGCCGTGACCTGCTTACGGGCCCCATTAAATCCGTGAAATAACGAAGTATTCTTACTCGCAAGATTTGTTGGCATAACCGATTCCCGTCAATGCCAGTAATGCCACGACGACGAAGATCCCCATGGCCAGGAGAGTCAGGATGCAGAATACCATCTGGGCAATGTACTGCAGAGGAAGATTCAATTTGCTGCACTCAGTCGGCGTATGGGTCGGTACAGGGAAGCTTATAGTGGTGTATTGAGTTACTATTTCTGCTGTATGTAAACCATCATAGTTAATGAGCATTTACCACCGCTTTAAACTTTGTAACGCTGCGTCATGAGGACACCAAGACGTGACGCAGGTCATAATTCGTGACGAGCAAAACAGAAAAGTCACGGGGTTTTTTTTTGGCTTCAGGAAAATATTGCTGAGGCTAAAGAAACCATTTTAACCCCTTCGTCACAACGTTAGGTTTAGGAAATCCATCAGTTCCTTTTTGGCGGCCATTTTGGCGACCATCTTGGATTTTCAAAGGCTCGACATTTTTAGTAACATTCTATCCTTAAACATCGTCTACTTCAAGGAGAACTCAGTTACAAGCTTTCGTTTTTTAATTTTGCAGGAAGACCGTTTGAGTGGTGGTACTAATGTATATACATAATATATGCATGATTTTGTATCGTGTATGGGTCTGACTGAAATAACTTCTACAAATTATGCCTGTGTAGTTAGCAAACATTATTATCCTCGTTCTGTTTAAGGTGCGTAATGCCCCGAAATAGCGACTTTTAGCTTATTTGATCATTCGTTCTTGCAGTGTTGTATGTGTGAGCGTGTATGTGTGCGCACGCGGGCGTGTGTATGAACATGCGCGTGCGTGTCCCTCTCTCTCTGTGAGTCAACACGTATGTGTTTGCACGCGCGTTTTGGGGACTTGTTTGTGCTGCCTTCTGTCCATAAAATTATGTACATGCACGAACATGTGAAAATTATTGTATTCTTCTACCTAGGAATTGTGTGTTACCAAGGAAATAACAGTTGGGATTAAAATAACGTATATACATAGCACCCATAACTCAACAGTCAAGTCTCGATATAACAGGGCGGTGGGGTAGCCCAGTGGTTAAAGCGTTCGCTCGTCACGCCGAAGGCCCGGGTTCGATTTCCCACATGGGTACAATTTGTTAAGCCCATTTCTGGTGTCCCCCCGCCGTGATATTGCTGGAATATTGCTAAAAACGGCGTAAAACCATACTCAGTCAGTCAGTCAGTCGATATGACACATGCGCTGGGTTAACCTATAAAAACACGTCCACTGGGTAACAGTGACATGCTTGTTTCTGCGGACCTAGATGGATGGAAATATCCTTACGCCTCCTTTTGCCCGACAGCAAGTTGCCATGAGTCCTATGAGTCCTGGCACGATGTACTGGAACACAAAAATATAATTGCTTGATTGCTTGTTTTTGTTGCACGCTGCACTCAGCAATATTCCAGCTATATGGCGTCGGTCTGTAAATAATCGTGTCTGGACCAGACGATCCAGTGATGAAACATCGAACTACGCAGTTGGGACATCATGACATGTGTAAACCATATAGCTAGCCTGACCAGCCGACCCGGGTTAGTCGCCTCTTACGTCAATTCTAATCCGGATCTTCATCGGTTAAATAGTTGACATGCACAAACTTTGCTCAGTTGTAATTAATATCACTAAAAAATATTAAAACGCATTTAAGCCCAAATAGTAACAAACACGATATGTGTGTACGTGATGTCTGAAATGGACTGTACCTGTTTCTCAGGCTTCAAACTTTTGCTGTTTATATTTGTTTTCCAATTAGAGTCATTATCATTTGGTGCAAAGTTACTTTCAGGTTGGTAAATCACTGGGGATGAATTGGCTACTTGGCTACTGTTGAAGGATATCAGAGAAGCAATATACATGAAGTGTAAGATAACATCTTGAGCAGCAAGATAGTCCCGGTCTAATGTTGCCATTTTGTTAGAAATTCCGGCTCACGTGATGCAAAAGAATGGGACGAAATTGGTTCATATGGAGATACGGGGCGGTGGGGTAGCCTAGTGGTTAAGGCGTTCGCTCGTTACGCCGAAGACCCGGGTTCGATTCCCCACATGGGCACAATGTGTGAAGCCCATTTCTGGTGTCCCCCATGATATTGTTGGAATATTGCTAAAAGCAACGTAAACCTCACTCACTCACTACAGTACTTTGGTAAATGCATTTCGCCAGAGGTTGTTTCCACAGCAAATGTTGAAGGTGTTCAAAAGTGTACGAATATTCATTTCCCTTCCACTACGTTTGCCATCGTCCCCGTCGTAATAATGCTGGAATATTGCTAAAAGCAGCGTAAAAATAAAACTCACTCACTCATTCTTTGGCCGTTGCGTTTATATAACACTGATAAGACAACTGATATATGTATCTAATATAGAAAACAAGCCTGATAAGATGATTGACATGCATGCATCATATGTGTAACCAGTGCGTAGACAAAAGACGTCAATGCACCTTGCGCATAAAACAAAATTAAAACAAACTTAAAAGAAAATTAAGATAATTGACATTCACACATCTTAATAAGACAAATGTCATGCATGCATCAGCCAAAATCACAATCATCATACTTGCAATGACTGTATACTGGACATAATTGAATAGATGTGTGAAACGATGGTGTAATGTCGTGTTGAACATTATACGTTAAACAACAGCTTAAGTGATGCCAGTCTCAGACGTTTACCATTTTGGTGGACCCCAGCGGCTTCTGTAAGGTTCTGACATACCTATTAACATAATGGGAAGAACCGGGATTCGAGCTGACAGCACACAATTCCAGGATCCCAGTGTCATAGTTTAATTTGTGTATTTACATCTGAGATTGTAAGTTCAATATTGGCCACGATAGCAATGGAGTTACTTACAGCGAAACCTAAAACCCATACTGGAAGATATGCAAATCCTGTAAAACTTGCCGCGCCCTTGAAGAAACTGTCGAAGTATACGCCCATCAAGGCGCTGAAAACAGTCCCTGTAAAACAAAATATTCCAGCAATATCACAGCTAGCAAAACCAGAAATGGCATCATTGTACCCATTTGGAGAATCGAACCATGGTCTTTGGTGTGACGAGCGAAAGCTCTAGCCACTAAGCTATGCCATAAAATATGTTATAAAATATGTTATGTAACTGAAAACAATATTTCAGTGCTATTAGCATGTTAATACTCGGAGCAGATTTAGCACACAACAAAGACTTTATACAAACATTTATTTAAATGTTATTTCTAGGTTTGAACTATACCATGAACCTTGGCGCGATTAAAATATCTGTTAAATTCCTTGTTTTCCGCATGAGTCTTGACAGGAATCACCAGAGGAACATCCGGTGAATAAATATACTACTCACACTTTGCTAAGGATCACAAAAATTCAGAACTTTGCTTAAACGTCGATTTATTATTTGAAATTGTATCCATTTAAAACTGGATAAATAATGATATGGTAACCCCTCTTTAGGCAAACAGTCACTTTAATCTAACCTTGTGCACTTGATACATGAGCAATCATAAAATATGGTTTTCATGGCACCAATCAACCATTTTGCAAATCATGGAGGTTTTGATCCTCAGCGAAGTGTGAATAGTATATGTACAAAGGTACACAATAAAAGTCTATCATGAAGAACCTCCACATAAATAAAACCGCAATATATAAACAATTAAGAGAGGATGGGTTATGTTGTCAGACACGATCCTTCTAGTGGGGCGCTCATTTTCCAAACAACTACTCCAAAGGAATAGGAAAGGATTGGTTCCGCAAACGTATATGTGGGTTAGACCTTGACTCGAGCATTTAGCTCCGAGCTCCAAATTTTCACTAAGCAAGAAATCGCTCCTTGAAGACACTACAGAATCCATTAATGAAGGACGGAGTCGTATCCATCACATGGAGAGCTTTCGGTGGTATGTTTTTGCCCAACATCCCTTCCTCGCCCCCTTCTGATCTCAATAAATTATGTCGTTGGAAGATATTATATGTCAAACAGCCTGTGGAGATTATATAGTGTGTATTCAAACATATGATGGGGTGGAAGTTTTGCAACCTTTACAGAACCCAGTGTAAGCAGAATTAGTAAAACCCAGGACAACGTATTGTGGCTTAATGGGTCGCCATGCCAGAGGCCAGGGTTTGATTACCCACATATGTAAAATGTGTAAGCCCTTTTCTGGTGTCTCCGCAATGTTGATACTGCTATAATATTGCTATAAGCGGAGTAAAGACATACCCACTCACTTACTTAATGGTCGAGAGGCGTTTGCCCCTTAATATAAAGTTTGGCGCTCCCAGGACGCCAGGGGACTCCAAGGAGAACAGACAGATCTGTTACATAGCATTTACTGTATGTTCTTGCTTTGACATATACCATATGGTATAATAGGTGCAACTAATACGGTGTCAGCTGACAGGAAACCGGTGTGACCACTTGTTTTTTTCACCAGTACTAAACTAATCGGAAACATGTTATTAGCTATACTGACTTATACACCCTTTATTCCTATCTTTCTTAACACTGGTCATTTCATTTCCATTGTTCCTAGAATGATGACACGGCGCTCTCGAACGTCGTATACTTGACTTTAAGGTGGAGACACGTATGTTTGTTTGTTTGTTCGTTGTTTAGTGCTGCAGTCAGCAATATTCCAGCTACATGTCACCAATATGTGAATAATCCAGTCTGGACCAGATAATCCAGTGATCAACAGCATAAACATCGATCTACGCAATTTGGGAACCGATGACATGTGTCAACCAAGTCAGCGAGCCTGACCACCCGATCCCGTTAGTCACCTCTTACGACAAGCATGGGTTGCTGAAAACCAATTCTAACTTTCACAGGTCGACACGTATGTGGTCTATCTATATGGCTGACGTGGAAATACAACAGCCTATATCTATAACTATGACCTGGAAACTATTCATATATTATTATCAATATTATTGTCATTACTAATTCGGACGAGAACGCATTCAGCGACAGGTTTAAATAAGAAACATGACCGACAAATTAAACAGTGGCTGATAACACTATCAACCATTTGTTTACATCAAAGCATTTTTATACCAGTTCTTCAACTGCACTGATGATTAGCAATTCCTTTAAAGACACAATGTCACTCCATGCTTCTCTAAAAATACTAACTATCAGTCCTCAGAGAAGCTACCATGTAATTTATTCCAAAAACAATTACGTTATATAGGTTACAGTCTTAAGTTTCGAATGAATTAATGCAACGTTGCATTAAATCGACTCTCGCGCCCTCTAACGGCCGAACATAATTTCAAGAGAAATCATATGGAGTCATGTCTTGAGAGCTCTTTACGAATATCCTACGCACAACTTCATTTGTAACTACTTGTCCCTTTCCGTAACCGAAAGAAGACTCGTACCCCTCTCGTAGCCATTTTACTGAACTTACCTGGCTGTTCTACCAGCAATTGGTCCTCCCTCGTAAGAAATAGCGAAAAGTAACAACAAAATAATGATCGTTTGTTAAACAACTTTTTTATTCGGGTGTCCAAAATTATGAGACAAATCATCAGCGTTGGTCTGTCGATTTCATGTGACTGTGCAAAATTTGGTTTTGTTGCAATTATTAGATTTGTGTTAGTGAGCAATTAATCGGTCTAAAATGAAGTCAAACGGACTACATTCTCTTCCCACAGAGGTTACTCCTGTCATATCTTCCTACGTTACCTCTGTTCTAATACGGCCGTTTCAGGGTGTGAGCGTTCAAGACTCGTGATTGGAGGCAATCGGATTTAGTTGTGCAATCAGCGCCGTTGTTTCAAAAGTGATCATTCGCCAGGCCTCGGTAATTTCCGTATGCATCGGGAAAACTAGAACGTCTTCCCGAGCGCGATGCGCAAACGTTTCTTCTAGACAGAACTCAGTCATGTAATGGCGGATCAATGGCGTCTCCATCGCCCTCGTTGACAACGAACAAGCTCGCCATTAAATGTCTCGTGTGTCACATCAACACAAGTCCCCGGCAGAGGAGGGATATTTGTGGCCCCACATTTGCTTGTATTAGTCAAGTTGAGCAAGTGTTGGGAAGAAATATCAACAAGAATCAGGGATTGGGATGTAACTTTGTCTGCCTCTCATCATAAATGATAGCGATGATCGTTTTCGCTTCACTCATACATGGGAGAATCTCGTAAGTTAGGGACTTGCCACTACCGGTTTTATTCCCGACAAACACATCTTGTCCATTGATTCCTGCACTCTCTATTGCTAGTTTCTGATTTTCAGTTAAACATGAAATACCGAATCTTTCCTTCGCACCTTGATCAACTAACACCATGGAGGTCGCCATGTTGGATCTAAGTCTATTTAACACGTCTTCTGACTGGATAGAAAGAAGGGAGATAATTTGTGTTGCGTTGCCACTAGGGGATTTTACGAGGACCGGGAAATATGGCCGTATTAGACTGACTGACTGAGTTTAGTTTTACGCCGCTTTTAGCATTTACCAAAGTACTGTAGTGAGTGAGTGAGTTTTACGCCGCTTTTAGCAATATTCCAGCAATATCACGGCGGGGGACACCAGAAATGGGCTTAACACATTGTGCCCATGTGGGGAATCGAACCCGGGTCTTCGGCGTGACGAGCCAACGCTTTAACCACTAGGCTACCCCACCGCCCTTGGCCGTATTAGAACAGAGGTTACGTAGGAAGATATGACAGGAGTAACCTCTGTGGGAAGAGAATGAACGGACTATAGTCGCCGAACTATTTTCATGGGCATGTAACTCTAGTTTACTAGGAAAATAAACATGGCATCCACGCCAAGGAAAGTACCTCAAAGGGTTAAATACTTTCCTACGCCATAATGTTAATGTATTTTGGTTATATAAATTCAGAAAACCCAGGAGGTCTATACAATAATAAAAATATACTTGAAGTGTCTAGGAAAAAATAATGCAAACCGAAATGAAAATTATTTCAACTAACTATTTTGACCCAATTTGTCCTCTACATACGCGCATTCTGATTTGCTGGGCGAATATTTCTCCCGGACATGGCTACGAGAGGGGTACGTACGGAAGCGTAGTAGGGCCACAGTGAAAAAAAGTGTTGGTCTTACTATCTCCTACGTAATTCTTAATATCTCCTACGTAGGACTTAGTATCTCCTACGTAGGACTTACTATCTCCTACGTAGGACATAGAATCTCCTACGTGGTACTTATTATCTCCTACGTAGGAGATAGTATATCCTAAGTGGGTATCTCCTACGTAGGACTTAGTATCTCCAACGTAGGACATAGTATCTCCTACGTAGGACTTAGTATCTCCAACGTAGGGCATAGTATCTCCTACGTAGGGGTTAGTATCTCCTAAGTTGGTATCTTTAGGACTTAGTATCTCCTACGTAGGACATATGTCTCCTACGTAGGACTAAGCATCTCTTACGTAGGACTTAATATCTCCTACGTAGGAGGTATCTAGGACTTAATATCTTAATATCTCCTAAGTAGGACTTAGTATCCTACGTAGGACTTAGTATCTCCTACGTAGGACATAGTATCTCCTACGTAGGACTAAGCATCTCTTACGTAGGACTTAATATCTCCTACGTAGGAGGTATCTAGGACTTAATATATTAATATCTCCTAAGTAGGACTTAGTATCCTACGTAGGACTTAATATCTCCTACGTAAGACATAGTATCTCCTACGTAGTACTTAATATCTCATGTATGAGATGATCGATATACGTTTATATACATTAATCTGAAATGGTCGACTTAAATCCCCAGACACGCACACACTCTTCTGGTTAACTGTTTCAGTCACTGTTAGAGTCTACAGTCATTCGTTTCATTCACTATTAGAGTCTACAGTTATGTGTTTCATTTACTATTAGAGTCTACTGTTTCCTTCACTATTAGAGTCATGTGTTCAACTAATTGTTGCACATTACTGTGTTGGACCGACTGTTTTACTTTAATGCCTTGCGTTCAGTTTGCTCTACTATTACGCGTTGCAGTTAGTTCACTGTGTTATGTTGCACTTTGGTACACTTTACTATTATGCATGTCAGAACGTTTCAGAGGTCGTTGCACATGAGTCACAATCTGCGTGTACAGACGTGTCTTAGACTATCGGTGGCAAGCTATGCGTACGTATCCCCTTATAATTATACAAATAACTATAATGACAATTCTTTGCCTTTTGAATTTCGTATTGTTTTATGCCGCACTCAACACTTTTCCACCCCAGTCAAGTCAACCCGAAACAATTACGAAAAACACGAGCCGCAAACGAGCGTTGCATCCGATCCAACCTAGCCCCATCTGAAGACATGCAACAACTTGCCGAGGTCGTGTTATAACTCGAGTTTCATATCAGAACCTCACCCCAACCATCCCACCCACCTGTGTGTGTGTGTGTGTGTGTGTGTGTGAATAGATGTATGTATGTTAGATTAAACATAACCATACCCAAACCTCCATAACTACAATTAGAACAGGGTCCACGTCACCCTAACGTAATACACACACAATAACACTGTATAGTAACACTGCGTTTGTGTCATGAATATTCACTAACTCACATTTCTACTATCTAACGTCCTGTATAGCCAAACATTTCTCAACTTAATAACCATACTTCATAATCCGAACCTTAAAAAGGATATATTAATTACTACGTAGGAGATAGTATGTCTAACGTAGGAGATACAAAGTCCTACGTAGGAGATATTAAGTATTATGTAGGAGATAGTTTGTCCTACGTAGGAGAAAATATGTCCTACGTAGGACTTAATAACTCCTACGTAGGAGATAGTGACACAACAAATTTCACCGTGGCCCTACTACGCTTCAGTAGGTACGAGTCTTCTTTCAGGCTACGGAAAGGGACGAGTAGTTACGAATGACACAAGTTATGATTGAAACCAGTTCGGCAAACACCGACAACAGCGCGTGCGACAGTTTTCAATGTACGGTGCAATTGTTTACATTCCATATATGGCAAGTGTTATCTGTTTGGAAGCTGTTTGCCTCGAAGTTTCAATGATCGATTTCAGGCAAGTCGTAAGGGATAATAAGTCTTTTATTGCACCAATCGGAAGCTAAAGTGAGTGCATATAAAAAATATCCAATATATCAAATATAGCTGAAATTATTGTCGAAAATGTGTGACATTGTGCCTTTAAAATATTACTTATAAGTATGAATAAATGTGAAATACGAAAGGCGACTTTCTACTAGGTTTCTACGTTCAAGGCCATCAGTTTCTATTCTTAATGCTTTTGCCCACGACCAGGTACCAAACAATTAATGAGTCCCATTAACAAGTCAGTTAGTCTGCAAAAGTAATGGAATATCCAGAAATCATAGGCGGTAGTTTCAGATTATATGCATAACAATGTATTGCTACGCAAACGTCGTTCATTATACTTTGTAACTTTCTCGCGGGGCCTTATCAGAAACTCCGTGAGAATTTTGTAAAATGTAAAACTTACAAGGGATGATTCGGCGGATATTGGATAATATGTGCGAAATTATTGACCCTCTAATGTGACTTATGAAGCATATCTTAATATATGTCAACTTTTATTTTCGTTTAGAAGACACACCCACGCCCTGTGTACACTGCTTTCATTTCACAATACAAGGTATTGCTTTCACGTACTCCAACGCCCTGCTTGTGGAGGTGATAACGCCAGAGCGCCTTGTTCAGCAACAATGGATAAACAAACAAAAGCTGACTATATCTTGGGCCCACAGTCGTGTCCTCTAAACCTGGTCTGGTAAATTAGGTTGGGCATATTGGAGACGGCTTTATCGTCGGCAGATACATAGGAGAAGTAACTAGATAGTACTAATTTATGACCTGATGGAACTTACCGAAACATGTCAAATCCCAGGATTACTCCTATTGATTGACTTTGAGAAAGCTTTTGACTCGGTTGACTTGAAATATATTCTCAATGTTCTCAATTTCTATCATTTTGGACCAGATTTGATTCAGTGGGTAAACCTTTTCTACCATGATATTGAATCCAGTGTATTAGTTGATGGCTTTGCATGATCCTTCTTTAAAATAACGCGGGGCTGTCGTCAAGGGGATCCTCTATCGCCTTATATATTTTTGGTTTGTGTTGAAATTTTGGCATTAATGATAAAAAATAATAGCATATAAGAGGAATACAAATGACGCTATTGAATACATTATGTCACAATTTGCTGATGATACGACGATGACACTGGGTTGTTCTGAAAGATGTCTTTATGCTGCCTTAAATACATTTATACAATTCTTTGCAAGATTCTCTGGGATAAAAATTAATATTGAAAAAAACAAACCTAATTTGGATAGGATAACAAAAACACATCAAGACTTAAGTTATGCAAAGACTGGAATTTTGACTGACCTCACACTGAATTTACACTTTTAGGTATTCATTTTGAAAATATGGTTGAAAACATTTATTCCGATAAATTGTCTCAAATTACGAAAGAAATGAATACCTGGTCAGCACGAACACTCACTCCCTTTGGAAGAAACACAGTTTTGAAATCACTCCTGCTTCCTAAATTAAATCAGCTATTTGCTACACTCCCAAGTCCTCCGGATCATGTTTTAAAATAAACTTCTAAAGCCATGTTTTAGATTTATTTGGAAAGGAAAACCAGACAAAAGGGACATTATTATATCTCTCCCTAAACATGGTGGATTAAAGGTACCAAAAATCAAAGATACAATGGCTGCCCAAAAGCTTGGATGAGTAACAAAATTATTACAGAAATCAAATAGGTGGGATTATCTTTTTTTTTAGAAAGATAACATGTGAAATTTACCTATGGTCTGCAGATAGTAATTATGTTAAAAATGTTGTTGCTCCAACCTTAACTAGTCAGTTTTGGAAAGATGTGTTAATTGCTTGGGCTTGGTTTATATCTAAGCAGAAATATCCTATTACAAGTGAATTTGAAATCCAGCCACAGTCTATCTGGTGTGTTGATGACATATTGGTTTATAACAAACCTATTCTGTATAAATATTGGCATAGGGAGTTGTGTTTGTATCTGACATGTTGACAGCAGAAGGGAAATTTCTTATCTTTGATGACTTTATAGATCTATATAAACTCAAAACTATTTTCCTGGCCTTTGAAGGGGTCAAACAAGCAATTATTACATCCATGTTGAAGGTAAATATTTCACATTTCACTACTCTGAGCATTAAACCGACATACCCTTTAATTTGTCTAAACTAAAATTCAGTGAAAAATGTAGCGAATATTTCTATGAAACACTCCTTTGCTCTTAGTTTAAAACAGAACACTATAATAAAAACTGGGATAGCTTGAATCTAAATCTCCTACCAAAGGACTGGGGAATATTTAATATTATCCCATGGAAGTGCACCTATAGCACTGATCTAAGATGGTTACAATACAGAATTGATATTCTACCTACAAAACGGTTTCTGTTCAGGCAAGATCAAGTACATAGACTCTCCCATTTGTAGCTTTTGTAAATATAACATTGAATCAATTACCCATCTCTTTTGGGACTGTGAAATTGTTCAAGATATCTGGAAAAACCTCATGTACGCCAAGTCCTCAATACCTCATGCTTGCCCACTACCCCAAGTTCTCAGCACTTCATGGAAGTCCAGTAGCCCGAGTCCCCATGCTTGTCCAGCACACTTGCTCCTTTAGAGGCGACCCAAACGTAACTGTTAACTCACCACATGCGAGCACCAAGCCCGATATAATTCCATTAGCGATATAAACGCTCCTCTTCTCTTGGTCGGCCATGTTTGTGAAGCAATATCAGAGCCACCTTAAAATCGGACAAATAGCCACCCTGTTCGATCGCCCTAGAGCTTATCTATGTGTTTGCCGATCGTCAGCAATATCACATCAATCTTCCTTGAATGATTATCTGAACTATAAATGACTTCAAGGTACAAGTGCTGCACACTGCATATGAATATGTAACGTGTTGATATAGAAATATGATAGCCAGCGTTATCAGTAGGTGTGTATGCTGTCCGTCAGCATGTCAGCATGCTATCCGTCAGCATGCATATTTAGACCTAAATGCGGTCTCCTCCGATATAGCAATGACAACAAATTGATCATCATCAATCGTGTGTTATACAGATAACTGGTACATTATTATTATAGGATATTTATATAGCGCACTTATCCACGCAACTAGTGCATGATCAAATCGCTGGTATTTTCTCCCTCGATCATTGGACGTCAAGCTCAACGGCACATCGTATTATCAAATCTCAATTCCATGGGGAATTGCAGCCACTAGGCGCACCGAGTTAATTATTGTGGCCTTTCATCCTAACGAGGTACCCATTCACAGCTGGGTGGACTGGGACACACATAGTCACAGTACTTTGTCCAAGTTCACTGCACGTTGCTGTACCCGCAACTAAGTGTGTGCAGGTCTTCATGTGGCCACAATCTGGTCATATACCAACGGATTCACGGGTTCTTTTAAGTGCACAGGGTTGTGTACTATACACTAGGGGTTGTGACAACACGGAAAGAGTCTGCACACAAAGTTGACTCTAAGGTTTTTCAACGCGGTCACAGGTGGGCTCGATCCCGGCACCTTAAACCCGCTGGATCAGTAGCCTGGCGCCTCAGCCAGCTCGCCCACCGCGCCCCGGGGAACAAATAAGGGAACAATACTTCATAAGTTTTTATCAATGCGATATGGCTGTACGTTACGATGAACACTCACTCACTCACTCACTCATTCACCTGATGTAAATGGAATACTGTTAAAAGCGTTGTTAGCCGTAACTCACTCCCTCACTGCCTCTCATTCACTCACTCACTCACTCACTCACTCACTTATATGCTTTGTTGGAGTACTGCAAGGCTCCATTTTGTTATCAGAGTTAACTGTGTGGCGGCTTGGATAACAAATGTAGGTTGTCTCACATACGTGTTGTTTACGTAAGTACACATATCAAGTGTGACAAAACCTTGAACACTGCGCTGCTTATCAAGGCACACTGAAAGAACTCGCCTGTACAGGTGAGTGAGTGAGTTTAGTTTTACGCCGCACTCAGCAATATTCCAGCTATATGGCGGTGGTCTGTAAATAATCTAGTCTGGACCAGACAATCCAGTGATCAACAGCACGAGCATCGATCTGCGCAATTGGGATACGATGACATGTGTCAACCAAGTCAGCGAGCCTGACCACCTGATCGCTCCATACGACAAGCATGGTTGCTGTGACGACCGATTTATAACGGTTGATTTAGACCAGACAACCGTAATCAATATTATGAGTATCGATCTATGACGAAACCCTGAGGTAATGGAAGTCTCATATGTTTGTCAATTTTGTGTAATCCAGGAGCAAGATACTGTTGACGAACCTAGGAACACATTAGGAGGGAATCGGGATTCAAACCCAGAATCATAAGTGTCAGAGCTTCCCAGTGAACACAGCTTTGAAGAGCACAGTATAGTGTCAACGGCGCCACCCTAGTACACCCAGTGAACCATCGGGACGTTCTGGAATTAGGTTTCTGATATGTTCATGGGACACAACACTGCAAATTAAATAGAATTCCATCCCCAAAAGGCGGCTACTGAACTCTCAGGAATATGTGGGACGGCCTGAAAGTTAAAGCGTTCGGCCAAGGTCCGGGTTCGATTCCGCAAGAAAGTACACTGTGTGAGGTGAGGTGAAATTGGGTTTAACGTCGTGCTTGAGAATATTTCGCTCATATGACGACGTGCATGCGTGTGTATGTGTATGTGCGGCTGCTTGTACTAGCCCAGACTTAAGCTGGTTTTATAGTGCTAGCCCACCGAGATACCATGCCGCAGTGAAGCATGAATACCCCACTCAGACACATTATACTGACTCCGAGCCGACCAGTCCTTGTTGTACCCATTAATGCCGAGCGCCAGGCAGGGACCAACAAGTACCATATTTTAACGTCTTTTGGTATGACGCGGTCGGGGATCGAACCCGCGACCTTCCGCTCTCCGGGCGGACGCTCTAACCACTACACCACGGAGGCGGTCGTACACTGTGTGAAGTACGATGTGTGAAGTACACTGTGTGAAGTCCATTTCGGTTAAGGCGAGAATTTAAAGATGTCTACTTTTCTATTTTGGGGAACATGATGCTTCGGAGTATATTCTGACAAAAACTGTTCAACAGATAGCTATATACGTATATGTGGAACAACAAAAGCGATAAGATAACACGGGAAGCCAGTAGATAAAATGGAGCTGAGTGGTATCATATCACCGCCTGTCAAGAATAAGGCTTGTTATCATAAACTGCCTTACCCCTGAAGCAACGCACCAAACACAGCTGGTACGAAAGCACGACTGCGCAAATATCATACCATACAGTGCAGCTGGACACTATGACGTCACGCAAATATAATTCCATATATAGAGAATACTACACGATGTCTCATTACATACATAGAGAGTACTACACGAGGTCTCATTACATACGAATTATACGAAACGAGTGTCCTTCCTATGGTATCTGACCGAGCGAAAGCGAGGTAAGAAACCATAGGAAGGTCACGGGTTTCGTATAATTCGTATGTTATGAGCCGAGTGTGGTATTTTATTTATTACCCACGTCTTATAATGCTTTAAATTGACAAAATAGCGCATTTTTGTTATTTTTATGGTTTCAAACCGAAACCGGTTTCATAAAGAGGTTGCGGAAGAATGTTGTTCTGTAGTATACTTTTTTGCATTACGTCACACTGTAATGACGTCACTACGCCTTGCTCGTCTGTTCCCTTGTTAACCGACGTCACGATGCACGTCAGTTGTCACCGCCTCGCACAGCCTCCTACATTAAACTACTCCGTAGCACCCCGTCGCTTAGTATGCAGTTGCTTCATTCAGCTAACATCACTGGTGGAAACATTATGTGGAAACATTATGTTTATGTTTTTCGACGCATATAATGCCTCAGTCGACTCACAATTAAACAGCGACACGGCAACGTTCGCAATGTTTACATTCCCACAATGCATATAAGTTGTAGAATGATTGAATTCACGTGTTTGTTATGAATGAAAAAGTAGTTTCGTCACAAAGGTCATCGGTTATCCAATCAAATCGTTAGAATCCCAGGTCAAGTCGTTATGACACAGGTCAACGCGATACGACGCTCGTGTGACGTACGAGATTAGTATGCAACTACCCATACGTTGACCACGTGGGTAATAAAGTGCTGGACACTATGACGTCGCGCAAATTAGTCATAGTGCCCATATGTAAATATAGCAGGTCAAGACTAGATATTAACCAGTCTGAATACAGATTCCCGTCATCACTCCGCTGGTTGATTCGACTCTAGGAACCAGAGGTTTAGATCTTTTCCAAATGCCCGCAATTGATTTCACATATTCCGCCTTCAAAATACTTGATCTGGTGAGGTGAGGTGAGGTGAGGTGAGGTGAAAGTGGGTTTAACGTCGTGCTTGAGAATATTTTGCTCATATGACGACGTGCATGCGTGTGTATGTGTATGTGCGGCTGCTTGTACTAGCCCAGACTGAAGCTAGTTTTATAGTGCCAGCCCACTGAGATACCATGCTGCAGTGAAGCATGAATACCCCACTCAGACACATTATACTGACTCCGAGCCGACCAGTCCTTGTTGTACCCGTTAATGCCGAGCGCCAGGCAGGGACCAACAAGTACCATATTTTAACGTCTTTGGTATGACGCGGTCGGGGATCGAACCCGCGACCTTCCGCTGTCCGGGCGGACGCTCTAACCACTACACCACGGAGGCGGTCTGAACTGCGGTGACTGAGAGGGGTAGTCTGTTGGCGAGGCGGTGAATGAATTTGCCTCAACGAGTACTAGAACTCAGTACTAATCAGTACTTTCCTGAGAAAGTGTAATCGCAAATGTAACATTTGTTATACATGTTACATTCGACGACTTTTTAAAAGGCAGCTTTGCAGAAAATTGGGCGGAAGGGAAAATAATGTGGTTCAGAGACTGTAAGACAGGCTAGGTGGTAGCAATATGACGAGACTTTGCAGCCAATTGTCGAAGACGTTACATCATGAGCTGCAAACTTTTGCGAAGAGGACAAAAAATAAACCGTTTTTGGTTCCTCACAATTTGCCATCAGCGTCAGAAAGAAAATCAGCAAAACTTGTAAAAATATACTCATGCCAATAATGGTTGTCACCCCCTTCAATTTTTTAATTGGAGACTGAGTTTAGTTTTACGCCGCCTTTAGCAATAGTCCAGCAATATCACGGCGGGGGACACCAGAAATGGGCTTAACACTTTGTGCCCATGTGGGGAATCGAACCCGGGTCTTCGGCGTGACGAGCCAACGCCTTAACCACTAGGCTACCCCACCGCCCTTTTTAATTGGAGAGGGGTGTGGGGTGGGGTGTGAGGTGGGGGTGTGGTTGGGGTGGGGAGAGGGGTGACAACCATTATTGGCATGAGTATAGAAGATAACGAACTCACCGTAAAAGAAACACGCATGTATAAATGTGTTCTTTTATTGAGACATTTACAATCAAACTTTGTGTCAACAAATAGTTCTCAAAGGCAAATATGGAATTGAATCCAATGGAATGTACGAAACGTTTGCATTACCTGCCAAATGATACTTGATGGTAGATATAACAGTATACTACATAATTGTTGTTCAGTTACTCAAAGCTGATTGGACAAAGGCGACAAAAATATATCCCAAAAATGTATTCTTGAAAAAAGAGAGCGACTCCGACAGTTATAACTTTGTGTGTGTGAATCATAATCATAATTACAAATGTTCATGGTTAGCGGATCCTGCTCATGACAAATGTGAAATTAAGACCTTGCATTCTCCAATGTCGGACTGAACGCTGGAGAGAGGTGGTTTGAGTGAAGTTAGTTTTACGCCGCTTTAACAATATTCCAAATATATCGCGGCGGGGGACAGGAGAAATGGGCTTCACACTTTTGAACCCATTTGGGGAATTGAACCCGGGTCATCGGGGTGACGTGCGAACGCCTAAACCGCAAGGCTACCCCAGCGCTCCAGGAGTTTTGGTGTGTGTGCGTGCGTGCGTGCGTGTTATCACCGTCGACAATTTGGGCCCCTTGTTCATGATGATCGAGAGGTATTTTTTATACTTCATAGGTGGAAACGATTTCATAGCTTGCCTGTGTACATACGAAACGTAAACGTAAGTGATAATATTCATGATCATAATCATCATACCTCAGTGGCAGTAGCTACTGTATCAAGAGGCACAGAGTCCACTGTATGGTACAAATAGACAATTATGGAACGTATTTTTTGTATGTATATATGAAAGTATTTACATACTTTGAGCGTACGAAAAATTAAGGACATCTTCATAATTACATCTCTTTGTGCAGACGAAAGCTAAAATTTGAAAGATTAACCGCATGGAATATCTCTTTATGTGAGATTCATTAATTTCAAGTTGTCATGTCAATCTATGGAGTTTCTGTGGTGTACATGTTCAATAAGCAATAATACGAATATATTCATATAAAATAAAAATTAGGAATTTGTCATACTTTCCAAACCGATGCTGATATTAATGACTTGCAATTAAGTACATTTTAAAGTATTACAAATCAATAATTCATAGGGCATTGCTTGCATCAGTCATGCTGCTATGGGAAACCCTGGTGACGTGGACATCACTACTGTATGTAGCCTTTACTTGGCATATTATGCATGACCATTCCCTGGGGATTCTGAAAACAGACAATTCAGACAGACATGTTAGTACAAGTTTGGTTCGGTTAGTTTGTTGTTTAACGATCCACTCAGCAATTTTCCATATGACGGCGGTCTCTAAATAATCGAGGCTGGACCAGACAATCCAGTGATCCACATCATGAGCATCAATCTACACAATTGGGATACGATGACATGTGTCAACCAAGTGACAGCGAGCTTGACCACCCGATCCCGTTAGTCGCCTCTTACGACAAGCATGGTTTGCTGGCGTGCCATTACAGAGTTGATAGTTATCATGGATTTTACGGTCGTTAAGGTATTTTTCTCTGTATGCAGTATGTACAGTTATAACGACTTCAAAAGTGTTAATTTTAGTTCACATTAACCGTAGTCCGTCATATGCGTTTTGAATAAAATATCCAGAAGTTGACGGGAATATATCTCGGGTATTATCCCGGGTATTATCCCGGGTATTATCCATCAGCTCGTTGTAAGAGTGTTCGGCACAAGCGTGGTCTATTTTATATACAGCAGTAATATTCATGCGTGATCTTTTGGAGTGAGTGAGTTTATTTTTACGCCGCTTTTCGCAATATTCCAGCAATATCACGGCGGGGGAATCCAGAAATGGGCTTCACACACTGTACCCATATGAGGAGTCGAACTCGGGTCTTCGGCATAAATACTGGATTGTGATTCGTTAATTAAAGTCATTCAGAGGTAAATAATCACGTTACATACCTCTGATTTTCCATCACAGTATGCGTTAAAAAATAATAACGCGGTTATGGTAGAATGGAGATAAACATACTGTTTTTGAAAATCAGAGGTATATACATAACGCGTTTGGTTTTAAATCAAATTTAGAGCTATTATAATTTCGTTATATACCTGATTTTCCTACACAGTATTTTTATCTCCTAATTGTGTCCAATAGATCCTTAAAATGAATTAAAATCACTGGATTGACTGGTGGAACTGAAGAGGTTTCAAGAACAACTCGTCTCGTTGTCAAATGTATAAATGTATACCAAATTGTCGTAAAGTCATCTGTGGTTCTTTACCTCACTTCGGCAGGCCAGGATGCCAGACAAGATGGTGCTGACGAGGGTGAAGATCCAGCCGAAAACTAACATCACCGATGTGCCGACCCCTAAGCCGCGTACGCTTGTCATCAAATCACAGTCAAACTTGATCTCTGACCCCGTAGAGTACGAACTGAAGGAAGCAAAAGAAAACAGTTTTGTAAAATAAACCCAAACACGAATATTGACCAGAAAAGAAAAACTCTCCACAATGCTTGGTTCTGTCTTATTCAGAAACTTGCACATTCGTACCTCGCGAATGACGATATTCTGTCATATTTCATTTCTACCCTAAGGTAGGTATGTATTAGTGCTGTAACGATGCATTGAACTATCGATTGATTGCAATTGTTGAGTCTCCTATATAAATTAATCGGTGGAAGAAACTAGAAACTATCGATGCATCGATAGTGTGTGTGACTATCGATAGATAAGTAATTGACTTCCGTTGGTAAATGTGCAGTGCAAAATACAGGAAGTACCAGATTCGTTCACTTTGATTTAGAGTTATCCTCTCCTGTCACCAAACGATTTATTGATCCTTCAAATAGCTGAAATGACACGTTAAGATGTAAAGGCGCGTAGACGGACAGACAAGGACACGCATACAGATACACTGACAGACATAAACACACACATCCACACACACACACACACAAACACATCCACACACACACACGGACACAGCCTATCAAACATACACAGAGACAAACGGACACACATACAAACAGAGAACGTCACAAACTAACAAACACAAAGAAAGGTACACACACACCACAAACTAACACACACATAGAAAGACACACACAAACACCGCAGACTAACATATACATAGAAAGACACACACAGACACCACAAACTAACACACACATAGAAAGACACACATACCGCAAACTAACACACACAAAGACACACAGACACCACAAACTAACACGCACATAGAAAGGCACACACAACACAAACAAACACACACATAGAAAGACACACACAAACACCGCAGACTAACACACATAGAAAGACACACACAAACACCACAAACTAACACACACATAGAAATACACGCACACACCACAAACTAACACATACATAGAAAGACACACACAAACACCGCAGACTAACACACATACATAGAAAGACACACACAAACACCACAAACTAACAGACGCATAGAAAGACACACGCACACACCAAACGAACACACACATAGAAAGACACACACACCACGGACTACCACACACGTAGAAAGACACACACCTCAAACTAACACACACATAGAAAAACACACACACCACAGACTACCACACACATAGAAACACACACACACCACAGACTAACACACACATAGAAGGCACACACCACAAACCGAAAAATAACACACACTTAGAAAGGCACACACACACCACAGACTAACACACGCGTAGAAAGACACACACCACAAACCGCAAACTATCACACACATCACAAACTAACACACACATGGAAAGACAAACATAGCACAAACCGCAGACTAACACACACAAAGAAAGACACACACAGACTACGCACACCTAGAAAGACACACATCACAAACCTCAAACTATCACAAACGGACACACATACAAACAGAGAACGTCACAAACTAACAAACACAAAGAAAGGTACACACACCACAAACTAACACACACATAGAAAGACACACACAAACACCGCAGACTAACATATACATAGAACAACACACACAGACACCACAAACTAACACACACATAGAAAGACACACATACCGCAAACTAACACACACAAAGACACACAGACACCACAAACTAACACATACACAGAAAAACACACACAAACATCGCAGACTAACACACACATAGAAACACACATAGAGACACCACAAACTAACACACACATAGAAAGACACACATACCGCAAACTACCACACACATAGAAACACACAAACCAGAAACTAACACATACATAGAAAGACGCATACGCCACAGACTAACACACAGATAGAAAGACACACACGCCACAAACAGATACATAGAAAGACACACACACCACAAACTAACACACACATAGAAAGACACACACACACCGCAGACTAACACACACATAGAAACACACACACACACACCACAGACTACCACACACATAGAAACACACACACCACAAACTAACACATACATAGAAAGACGCACAGACTAACACACACATAGAAAGACACACACGCAACAGACTAACACACACATAGAAAGACAAACACACGCCACAAACTAACACACATATAGAAAGACACACACACTCACTCATACAGACAAACATATACACACACAGAAAGACAAACAGACTAACAGACACAGACAGGCAAACACACGTATGCAAGCACACGCATACCCAATCGCGCGCGCGCGCAGACTCTCTCCATGACATAACGATACTTACTTGGAGCAAGTGCAGATGTTTCCTTGTTGCACACAGGATGGTGGAGGTGTGGAAACCAGGGCCCCAATAGCGATGATGCCGATGATGAGGAAGATGCCCATGATGAGGAGAGTGAGGATTGAAAACACCATGTGTACGATGTACTGAGGAGAAGAATAATGTCCACTGTAGTAGAGGCACATGTACCGTTGAGCTGTCAGGTTGCCCTGGATCATCACTTCTCCTACGGCAGGTGATCGCTCCCCACATCATAACACTTCCCCGGCCGAATCTGTTCCCATCATTTACCCATCACCCATTCCTGGTATATATTTCTACCTTGGCTTGGTTTCGTTGGATTGGTTGGTTGGCTGGCTGGTTTAATGTTTAACGCCCCACTTGGCAATATTCAAGCTATATGGCAGCATCTGTGAATAATCGGGTCTGGACCAGACAATCCAGTCATCAACAGCATGAACATTAATCTACGCAACTGGGATACGATGACATGTGTCAACCAAGTCAGTGAGCCTGACCACCCGATGCCGTTAGTCGCCTCTCACGACAAGCATGTGTTGCTGAAGACCAATTCTGACCCGGATCGTCACGGGTCCATAGCCTAGGCACGTCTGGATTAATTAGACTAAAATTAGTTATATCAATAACAGCAGATGGGGTAGGTACAAATATATCAAAATCATTTTTCAAGAAATATTTACTCAAAGTGTTACTTTAACCTGTTGTTTCAAAAAACTTATGACCTGCACATTTCAATACAAATAAATCGAAATCATTTTAAAGAAATATACTCTCCCAAAAAAAGAAACGCATATAGGAATTTCAACGTGTATTTTTATGTTTATTTTGAAACATCTTGTAGGCTTTATGAGTCAATGAAATATAGTGAAATTGCACTCTGAGAGTGCAGACTTATCCGTCTTTGGCACCAACTCGAGGAAAGTCAGTTTGAGTGCCACATGGAGACGTGTGGTGGCGCTGAAGTCAATACCTCGTGTGACCACCGTGGGCATCCAGAACTGCACCGCATCGCCTCGGCATCGAACGAATAAGTCTCAGAATCTCGTGTTGCCCAATCGCAGCTCACTCTGCCTGTAGTGCCTGTGCGAGTTGCTGAAGCGTCTGGGGCTGAGGGTTACGGCGTCGCACCCGTCTGTCCAGGGCATCCCACAGATGCTCGATCGGGTTTACGTCCGGTGATCTTGAGGGCCAGGGGAGCACATTGATGTTGTGGTTCTCGAGGAAGTCTCTAGTGTGACGTGCTGTATGGGGCCTGGCATTGTCCTGTTGAAACAACTCCCTCTGGCGATCAATGATTGGAAGGAGGTGTGGACGTAGGATTTCGTCCCAGTACCGTTGAGCTGTCAGGTTGCCCTGGATCATCACTTCTCCTACGGCAGGTGATCGCTCCCCACATCATAACACTTCCCCGGCCGAATCTGTCCACCTGGGGAACGCAAGCGTCGGCGAAACGTTCACGTCGACGTCTGTACACCCGCATTCTTCCATTGCGTCGTTCCAATAAAAATCGTGATTCATCACTGAACCAGATTCTACGCCAATTCGGTAGATTCCAGGCCTGAACGTTGGTGCACCATTGAACTCGATGTCGACGATGTTGTTGTCGAAGCACAGGGCCAAAATAAGGTCTTCTGGCACGTAAACCAGCCTCTCTCAACCTGTTCCTGACGGTCTGTGCAGAAAGCCTCCTCAATCCGGGTATTTGTCGAGCCGTACTGGTTGCCGTAGCTGTTCGATGACGCAGGTGATGTACCCGGACGTAGCGATCCTGCGCCGCACTCTGTGTGTGTGTGTGTGTGTGTGTGTGTGTGTGTGTGTGTGTGTGTGTGTGTGTGTGTGTGTGTGTGTGTGTGTGTGTGTGTGTGTGTGTGTGTGTGTGTGTGTGTGTGTGTGTGTGTGTGTGTGTGTGTGTGTGTGTGTGTGTGTGTGTGTGTGTGTGTGTGTACTGTATTGTTCACTATGATCATTATCCACCTGACGAAGGGGCAAGTACTAGTCAACAAACGTGGCGAAGAATATATCAAAAAGTTGTTACCCATTAGATTTGTCTTCTATTACTACACCAACTCAAACATTTGAAGCATGTATCATACCTTGGCCTAGCGACTTACCAAACATTTGAATCGGGCGAATGCTGAAATCGTTCCCAGCAGACCAGGGACAATAAACTGTAAAAAAGTTAGCATAATTGAATTATGTTTCTTTAATACCGTCATACGTGACAAAAAGCAACGTTTAAAGAGAGAGAGAGAGAGAGAGAGAGAGAGGGGGGAGAGAAGAGAGAGAGAGAAAGAGAGAGAGAAAGAGAGAGAGAGAGAGAAAGAGAGAGAGAGAGAGAGAAAGAATGAGACGAATGTTTTGTTCAGTAAATACAGGAAAACAAGCGTTTTGTGTGTGAATGTATACATGTACGAAAGCCCAATAGTGTCATTCTATTTTAACTGAAATTCTTAATTCAATCGTTTGAGCTTTTTTGAAATAAATCGAAGCATTTTTCGTTACTTCGATTATATTGTCGTAATTTCAATTAAGTTTATTTGTTCCAAAAATTCGAAATTTCCTGTTTTGTCTTGTTATCTCAATGATTTTCTCAAAATTCCGAGATTTTGCTCGTTACTTTGATCATGTTTCCGTAACTTCTATTATTTTCTCGATTTTTTTCAAGAATTTTGTTTAACGAGTAAACCTGTTCTCGTTTACTTCCAGTATATTGACACTGTTTCAAGGTACTTTCAAAACTCCGAATTTCGTTAGATCAGACAATGTGACTGTCTTAGTGAGCGTCGATCTACGCAGTTGGGATACAATAGCATCCATCAACCAATCAGAGAGCCTGATCAATTGATACCGTATAGTTGCGTCTCACCGTAAGTGTGAGTTGCTGAAGCCTCACTGGTCAATCACTGAACTTATGAGGCGAGTGAAAGGGTTTTTGGGGGTTTTCAAGGATATATGGGAGTATAAACTCACTGCGAAGCCGAGAAGCCAGACTGGTATGGAGGCGAATGATGGCTCGATGTAGGTTCCATCGATCTGACTTAGTACGTCGTTAAAGATTTCAATCTCTCTCTTCAACAACACAGCAATCAGAACACACAGTGTTATGCCTGTAAGGGAATTAAAACAATATGTGTATTGGCTTGCATTTCAAAGTTATGCTGTTCATGGGTACCCGGTAGGATGTGCACCTTTTGACAACGTGACGAGCGAACGCTGTAACCAGTATTCTACTCCACCGTCCCCGTAATATTAGTATTGTTTATTTCTAGTAGTAGTAGTAGTAGTAGTAGTAGTAGTAGTAGTAGTAGTAGTAGTAGTAGTAGTAGTAGTAGTAGTAGTAGTAGTAGTAGTAGTAGTAAGAGTGAGTGAGTTTAGTTTTACGACGCACTCAGACAGCTATATGACGGCGGTCTATAAATAATCGAGTCTGGACCAGACAATCCAGTGATCAACAGCATGAACATCGATCTACGCAACTGGGATACGATGACATGTGTCAACCATGATAGCGAGTCTCAGCCGATTATTTACAGACCACCGCCATATAGCTGGAATATTGCTGAGTGCGGCGTAAAATTAAATTCACTCACTCACCATAAACAAACTAATCACAAACTAACAGACATTACGAACTGTTTTCTTAATCGAAAGTTTACAGCGAACTACGGTTATAACGAACTAAACGAAGTGGTCACATTGAATTCGATAGAACTGTAGTTTACTGATTCACCACAAAATAAGCGGTGGTGGGGAAGCTTAGTGCTTGAAGCGTTCTCTCTTAACGCCAGAGACCGGGGTTTGATTCCCCACATGGGTACAATGTGTGAAGTGACACTCACTCACTCATTCACTCATGATCACTCACTCACTCACTCACTCACGCACGCAAGCACACCCTCGCTCACTCACTCACTACAAAATAAACACGAACGTTTGCATCAGCAAAGGGCATGCTTACATGTACGTATACCATTTTCGAGAGCACCTGGTGTCCTCGCTTTTCAATGCTTCTTTCATATGATTATCACAGATATTTTGCCCTATTTCTGAGGATTCTCAAAACTGGGTAAATGGGTTCTTTTAGACCGACGTTTTCTATAAATAAAATAGTGATGATACCAGGTGTTCGCGAAAGGGTGGGCTTATACTGGAACAATATAGAATAATGTGTTATTTACTATGGAACCACATAGAAAGGACCAAATCAATACCCTCGTATGAAGATATTGGCTTTTTGGGGTTGTGTATTTCTTACCCCAAGATGACTCGGGATATTTCTATATGGTTAGAGAAATTTACACATCCATTTTTGACCGTGGTACAAAATGAAACGTGTATAACGTTTACAGTTTTTATTACCGAATTAAATGTTCAAGCGTGCACTCTCTTTTGCTCTGTACTTACGTTAACAGTCTATGCGTAAAACAGTGTGTAAATAATGCCATGTTTAATGACTTAAACTTCATTATTATAAACTTAAGTATACAACTCTATCATTACCAAACTGGCCTGTGTTAACACTAAGATTTACACTGTCTTGCTTACTCACTGATAAGCTAGTTGCAGCCTACTGTAAGGGTTAGGTCAGGTAAGTCTATGTCAGGTAAAATCTCTGCATCGACCTATTGTCAAGGTTCCTATGGTTTCATAGATTTCAGCTATCACTGACCTGCTTGTCACATTTAAACTTTCTACTGACGTTCACTCGTGGCAGTCTACATCTTTCTCCTTGAGAATCACAGCATAACACCAGCACATTGTGTTGTTATCTGAGATGAGATGCTCACATTATCTGTTGGCTTATTCCGTCTGCGCCTTTGATACGAGTACGTTTCGTTATTGTTCATCCATATGGACTGAGAGCCAACATTGATCTCCCGCCGACGTCTACCTCAGGTACGTATGCATATAGCAAACACTCTCTCATGTGCGTGCGTGCAGGTTGCGGAAGAATTTTGTTCTGTAGTACACTTTCAAAAATGCTGTTATCCAATGATCGATTTAAATAAATGACATACCAGAACATGCAAACGTTATCTTACTTATACACAGCGGTCTACATGCATAGACTGTTAAACCGGTTTATGCCCGGAGTTGCCCTTCCCACAGTGGCCCCTGAGTTTTCACGACTTGTTAACAACCCATCCCAGAGTGGCCCCTGAACACTTCAGAGTTCCCGCAGTAGCCTCTCTTAATTTCTGTAGAAAACAGACGATCTTTGACTAACAGCATTTTTGTAAGTGAACTACAGAACAAAATTCTTCCGCAACCTGTTTATGAAACCGGTTTCGGGTTGAAACCATAAAAATAACCAAAAAATACGCTATTTTGTGCGTGCGTGCGTGCGTGCGTGCGTGCGTGCGTGCGTGCGTGCGTGCGTGCGTGCGTGCGTGTGTGTGTGTGAGCCATGGCTCTAAAGGGAGAAATTGTTCCTGGTAGACAAAATGGACTTGATATTTTGATGGAGGGTTTTAGGTACAAGAAGAAGAAGCAAACCAAGCTGCTCAGCTGAAAATGTGTATTGACTTGTTGCTCCCCTCTCAGAGTGAGGATGTATTGATATGTATCTGTAAAGCCATGGACATGAATAATGTAACTGTATCGTAGTTCCTTTTTCATCATGGTACTCAGAGCTCTTTCAAAGCCTCACGCCTCCGTAATTAGTCCAACACTGTTGGTAATTAAGCTGATTGGATAAGAAAGTAAGATTCTTTATGGATAACAACTTCTTTTATTATATATGATGCGACGTTTCGGCATGGATTCTTATACCGTTGTCAAGCAAGAGTCACTTGCTTGTCACAAGTGAGAACAAGAGTCACTCTTGCTTGACAACGGTATAAGACTCCATACCGAAACGCTGCATCATATATAATAAAAGAAGTTGTTATCCATAAAGAATCTTACTTTCTTATTAGTCACCAAATTCTAAATGCCATGACTGGATAAGAGAGGCCAGTGCGGGAACTCTGACGTGTTCAGGGGCCACTCTGGGATGGGTTGTTAACAAGTCGTGAAAACTCAGGGGCCACTGTGGGAAGGGACACTCCAGGCATAAACCGGTTTAACAGTCTATGCATGTAGACCGCTGTGTATAAGTAAGATAACGTTTGCATGTTCTGGTACGTTATTTATTTAAATCGATTTTCGACTAACAACATTTTTTATGTCAAAAGCATGGCTTCAAGTAATGCCACACCGTGCCAGCTACATGGCAAAGGAAAAGGTCCCAGATAACGGATCTTATGAACATTTACATTTCTTATCAACACTAACGAACGTCACGTCTCGTCAACACACGTACACGATAAGCGGTAAGCGGAGTGAAAGACACGAACATTCCCACGTACATTCGAATGTTTATAAAGATGATTGAATATGCATATGAAAATTTATTCCATTCTAACTTCCGTATCATTTGAGTGAGTGAGTGTGGCCTATGGCTCGCATGAGGCAATTTTTATTCCTAATATATGATTCCGTAATGACACGGAAACACACTCGGTTAATAATCTCTATATATCAAAATCGTGAAAGATTTAGTGTCAAATATCAAGTCATTAACTCGTTTAATAAAAATGGTATTACACGGAAGGTCGTTTAGTATCCTCTATATGCTGAGTAATAATAGGATGTACATTTATATCAAGGAGAAGGTTTCTTGACATTGGGATGGGTTGTTAACAAGTCGTGAAAACTCAGGGGCCACTGTGGGAAGGGCCGCTCCGGGCATAAACCGGTATAACAGTCTATGCATGTAAACCGCTGTGTATAAGTAAGATAATGTTTGCATGTTCTGGTATGTCACAAGACATACCATGGTATTGACTCGTTTTCTGTGGAGCTCCGACGCTTTTATGAAAGAGAAGGATGGACAGGTGTGACCTAACGGTTCATGGCCGGGAAGGCTAAAATCGTGACGCATCTCAGTTCAATGAGCGTTGCCTTCGCGGTACTTGCAATGCAATGTTATGGCGGAACGAACAGGGAGCGCCTCACTCAGACGTGCTCTGGCTACGTGAGAGACCTGTTTTGACAGAATCTGGCTAAGTGAGAGCACACCCACTCAGAGGCTCTGACAAATTACAAAGAAAACAGGATTAACGTGGACACGCTTTCATTTGGGCACATATAAAAATATAAATATAGTTATTTACACAAGGTGAAAGATTTATTTCTGTATTATTACTCATTTATTACTCACCCGTTGAAGATATCACTGTTTAATAATAGCATATGACGTCAAAGTGGTTAACAGTTATGACATCACAATACTAATTGTAATTCTTCAGTACTTTCCGATAACAAAACAGTGACATCTGTGCTAATATTTTATATACATGCCAAGCTGTTCCTCAATAAAACAATTTACAGTACCAAATCCATTTACATTGTGTTCACATACAAATGTTTCAAGGTCATTAAGGCAGAGAGCAAATAAGAAAGGAGATAAATTTTCTCCCTGTCTAACGCCATCTTGTGGTTTGTATCGGATTTGTTTTTGCCAAAGATACGCTTATATTGATACTGCCAGTGTATGATACAATACAAACGCCAGTTAAATAAAGTTCTAAACCAAGCGAAGAAGATAAATACTCTATTATATCAATGTTTCGAAAATAATTTTAACTACTCATGGATTATGCCTTGTGACTATTATTCTAATGTTTCTGTAATTAAATACATCTGAAATACAAACGCTACTGTTAAATAAAGTTCTGAACAAGAGAGGAAGATAATATATCTACTCTCAACATGGATTATGCTTCCCGGCACCATATTTTTAGCTTTGGCGGTACTCCCTAATCGCTTGGAAATTAGCTCTCCCGGGAAATCCGAAATATAAATTTTAGCCTTCCCGGCACGACACCGACCTAACTAAACCTCGTGAAAATAGGCTTTGCCTTACATGGTGCACGGATATAGAGGTTGAATTTCCCGTATTGTTTGTCTGTTCATCATATTCATCTATACGGATGATGAACACACGCATTACTATAGAACAAATCCCAATATGCCTACGTTTACGAACTATTAGAAAATATCAATAAACTGATAATCTCAAATGTGGCTAATTACGGTCATCACGTAATAAATACGTGAAAATAATACTATTATTATTATTGTTTTGTTAGAAGTGTGTGTCTCTGGGAGGGGGAGGATGGGTGGGTTGCTGTTGGTTTTTTTGTTTGGTTTTTTTTGCTTTTTTGCTTTTTTGGGGGGTGTTTTTTCTTTCTTTTGTTTTGTTTTGTTGTTATGTTGTTGTTGTTGTTTGTTTTTTTGGGTGTGTGTGTGTGTTTATAAACATATTTTATTCATAAAATATAATTAACATGAATATGGATTGGCACAACATGCCAACGGCTTATTTAAGTGCCGCTCCATTAAATATAACAGAATACAATCAATAATTAACTTCAAACAAAGTGGTGGGTGTTGTCGGAGATCATGTGACGTTTACCCACGAATGGCGTATAATTGTTCTAGTCCTGTCGTTGACCTAAAATAGCTTCTATCTGTCTATGCGGACTGAGGTCAAGATTCAGCTGATACTATAATGTGTCACAGTATCTTAGTTTATATATTTCAATTCCTAAACAGCTGTTATGAAATAATTTGATCATAAGGAAACACGTGATAATTGTGACTCAATACGTCACATTTCAATAGCACGGTTACTAGTAAACATTATGTTCTAGTGTATGAAATATCATAATAGAATATAATATTATATCTATATTTCACAGCCAGTTTTAGAACAGTCAGAATTTTCAAATATATGATTAAGTATTTCTTAAAGATTTCATATTGTACTCACCGCAGGCAAGAACAAGCGCCGAGATAATTCCATTTGCATTACTGTGTCTACTTTTCACAAACATCATGGAATTATGGTGTCTTCGTTACGTTTCTCGTGGGATCCTTTCACCGAAAAGCTACAATGCTAATGATGAAGTACAGCGCTTCTGTATATATACTGGCTTTAGGATATTTCGCAATATCAGTGAGCACCAGGTCCACAGTGCGCGAGTTAGCGTTGCTATGAATGTTATCTTTAGGTATCTTGATTCTGCGCATGCGCAGGTCTGACTTCTACAGAAGGGCTTGTCTGGTGGGAATGTTGAAATATCTAAAACTGGGGCAGCTAACGTCAAAATCTTGACAGTTGAACTTTTTGGAAACAGAGATTACTACAAAAGTGTCCGCTATACACTGAAAAGTAGTCCAGATTTACAAGCTTGTAAATGTCTTGTGTATATGATATTTAGAAGACTTGAGATGAGATTTAGAAATATTTACGATATTTAAATATGACGAGAGAAACAATTACAATTTTGCAAAAAAATGGCAAGGGGGATCATCAGTATGTACTGTATGATGATTTTTCTGTATGGGCTGAAGTTAGTGTGTCGGTTATATTAGATGCCCTTTAATTTATGAGTTATATCTAAAGAATTTTAACGAGCGAAAGTGGGTTAGATACGTTTCGAAACAACGACTTGAAAGACAAATAGTATCCGACATACAGTAATCTGTTCCATATACATCTTGAAATCGTTTCAACCTCAAATCGACAAATATTATTTTCTATCCTCATAATCATAGTGGCGCATTAACACATGACACGAACTTTGTAGGGCTGACTAAAATGATCGATAGTCGGAAATATGGTCGATAGGGAAACATATAAATGATTATCGATATGAAAATAGTGTTGTGGATAATTAGGAGATAAACATACTGTGTTGGAGAATCAGAGGTATATATAGAGAATACTACACGAGGTGCCATTACATACGAATTATACGGAACGAATTATGCGAAGGTCAAATACCATAGGAAGGTCACGAGTTTCGTATAATTCGTATGTAATGAGGCCGAGTGTGGTATTATATTTATTAGGCACGTCTTACCTGTATAAAATTGACAAAATAGCGTATTCTTGATATTTTTATGGTTTCAACCCGAAACCGGTTTCATAAACAGCTGACGATGTCACCGTCAATAATCGATATATATTGAGTTAACGATTATCGATCTCTAAGATCTATATCGATAGTCAGCCCTAGTCATTTGTGACGTCATCTGGCCTACTGCTTGCTCCTCAAATCTTGTGTGACGCTCCATACACACGTTTCCGTCATAAAGGAAAACCAAGTTCTATGGATAGTCGACTTCTTTATTGCAATGAGTGCGACGTTTCGGCGTAGGTAGGTGACTAAACTCACTCACTCACACACACTCATTGTTACTGAGTGAGTATGGTTTTGTACCTCCGACCTGCATTTCTGAAATGACATGACGCCGTCTACTGATATAGCCGTTATCAAAACGTTTGCTGCATAATATATTCTGAAGGAAACAAAAAAAAAACACATGAAAGTTCATGTGTTCCTGTAATGTCTTCAAAACGTATTCGGAAGTTTTGCATTGCGCTGTGGTTGAAAATCGGACAAACATCTGTTCTTTTCCCTTATTTGTTTCGAACAGTATATGTGTCAAACTGCTTAAGTCGAAGAGAGGAATGATGCTGCAGGTGCCTGACCTTCCCAATTATCAAGTGCTTTCAAGCAGAGATGCATTGATACTGATGGTCAAATGTGGATAGCAGATTTACAAAAATATTGAGTTTTATTTTATCGTACTATCCAGTTGTGTCCTTCTCTCTGAAGCCCGTGAAGATCCGGGTTAAAATTGGTCTTCAGCAACACATGTTTGTCGTAAGAGGCGACTGACGGGATCGGGTGGTCAGGCTCGCTGACTTGGTTGACACATGTCATCGTATCCCATTGCTCAGATCGATGTTCATGCTATTGAGTCCAGACACGGTTATTTACAAACCGCCGCCAAATGTCACAAAATTCAGCTGTTTTGAACTGTTTCCAAATACATATTTCTTGGTATGAGAAGCGCGCTAAATGTTTGAATGTTTAAAATCATGATATATATTATATTTTAATACCTCCAACATAACTATTGGTGCTCAAGTATTGCCAATACTGGTTTCTCGTATGTGTTATATGGGCCGTGGCCTTATTATATAAATAAAGTGAATTGAATGTCAGAGTGAGTGAGTGAGTTAATATTTAACGTCACATCGGCAATATCTCAGCCATATCGTGACGAAAACAATTTATACAATAATGAGTGGAAACATTTTGAAGATTAAAACATGTCGACGATGGACAGTAAAAATACTAGAGAATCACAGATATGAATATATAACTAGCGAGCAAAGCTAAAACATTCCAATTAAAGAAGACAATACAGTATAGAACACGGGGATAGAGATCACCAACAACTGAAGGTATATCACCATACTAGGAACCATGGGGACTTACATTACTTTTGCTACCAGCATGGACCCTAGCTGGATTTACACCATCCCTTCAGCCGCTGGCGACTGTAGGAAACTTTAGCCGGCAAAAATACTACGTTTAAAATGTGGTAAATTTAATTTTACTTTGAAGGTTTTGGGACTTACGTACCCTCTCAGGAGGAAAATAATTTTACAGTACTTTAACCCCCTTTGAGGGTACAGCCACCAACAATCTAAGTTACTAATCTAAACTACCAATCTTTAAAATATATCTATTTACAAAACACATTAATCAGAATTCATCAAATAAATCAATTTCTTTTAAATTTCCAATAATTAAATGAAAATTAACAGTGGTAAAAAGATCGTTAATTGTTTTCACATTGAAATATTTATCCCTTATGATGGAGAATTCAACACACTCTCTTATCACAAGGTATACAAAACGGAGGATCTTCACCCTTTAACAGCTATTTGTGAGTATAACGCGTATGGTCAATGCGACATCGTCAAATCTGGACTGACAACCCAAGTAGGTGTAACCAATATAGGGGTTGTATTTCATGTAATTTATTGATGCCTACCTGGGTGTCCCACTTCTTCTGCATCAGAACACGGATGTACGTTCTAATGCTAGCTTTGTAATCAGAGTAAGGGATATTGTATTCCCAGAAATGCCAACATGGCTTGGTAACCAACAAAAGACGATGTCGCATTGGCCAAGCTCTTATACAATTCAATAATTTCTATTAGAAGTGGATGTTTACAAGAAATATATTTAATAGCCTGAAGACACGAAAGAGAATCAGAAAAGATTATGTATTGTTTATATTTACGGTGTTAATTAATAAATTTAAGAGCTGATAATATGGCGTTAGCTTCTGCTGTGAAAATAGAGCTGTTATTTGGTAGTCGAGAAGATATTGTTCTGGATCCAATGACAGTGGCAAATGCCACGGCGCCACCATCCTTAGACCCATCTGTAAATAAGGATTTGTATGTGTTATATTTACTTTTTAAAAGACCAATTTGCCTTCGTAAAAATCCCTGCATTTAACTGTGTTTTCAACACTCTTTATGAGGATCTGTATAACAAAAAGTCTTCTCTTGTTCCACCTCTTGGACTAAGAGTCAAACCTTTCATTTCTGCTGCTGTCATTGAGCTAGAACATATATCTCCTTCCCGTCTTCTTCCTTCTCCTCCTTTAAAATCCTTTAAAATACCATGCTTCCAGGTGGTATCGTATGCTTTCTCAAGATCAAAGAATATCGATACTGCATCTTGTTTATTTACTATAGCATTTTTGACAAAGGATTCGTTTCTTCTCATGCTGTTTCTGGTATAGTTGAAATTCAGGGACGTAATTTGACGAAAAAGAATGTCTGGCAAGAGTTTCGCCAATTTTATTTGTAAGTTTAGATTTATCAGTTATAAAATTATCACCATCTTTAAGATGTTGAACAGCAGATTTTGAACCTTTGTCTTTAATGCACGGAACCATGTTCCACACCTTAGACATGGGCGTGCGTGAATTAATTTTGGAGACATAATTTCTCCAAGGGAGGCGTTTATTTTGCTTGTAGGCACGTCGTGCCTTAGTACCAGTAATTTTAACATTGTTCAAATTATGAACCGTAGGATGAAGGCGAAAATATTTTCCCGCCTTCTTCCTACACTTTCTGGCTTGTTTGCATTCCTTGTTAAACCATGGTTTACGAATATGAGGAATCGCAGAGGACTTAGGAATTGTTTTGTCAGCAGTTACAGTGAGTTGAGAGGAAAACAACTGTATGGGGTCTGATACACTTGTAAAATTGTCAGGTATTAATTTTTCCATACACATTGTTTCATATAAGGACCAATTTGCTTTCGTAAAATTCCACAGTGATAGAGGTGGATCATCATCTGGTTCAATAGCTTTAATGACAGTAGGAAAGTGATCGCTTCCACAAAGGTCATCATGAACGGACCATTCAAATTCATTGTAAATATTTGAATCCGTGAGGGACAGATCAAGTGTTGAATAAGTTCCCGTCGCAGGGTGTAAATAGGTGCTTGAATCATCATTAAAAATGCATACATTATTTTCAGAGATAAAATCTTCAATAATTTTACCTTTATTGTTTGTACTTGTACTTCCCCATAGAGGGCCGTGCCTGTTCGCCCATAATGATGCAGGGTTTGGGTAGCTGATCATACAGGTTCTGAAGATCAGATTGTTAAAGAGCAGAAGAAGGTGGAATATACAATGAGCACAAGGTAAATGCAATGTGCAATGTGAGTCGCACAGCAACAGCTTGGAGATTTGTTGTGAGATTAACTGGGCTATGAATAACACTTTGCCTTACCAGAATCTCCTGCAGACGGCACCAAGGATACTAGGAGGGTATACCCAAGCAGGATAGTGTCTTAAAGACAGATCCTACCAGACTGGCCCATGAGCCATTGCCTTCTGGACATTTAGACTCTAGGCAATGTAGATAAGACATATGTCAAATCAAGTGATGTTTTATAACAGATCCACGAGATCCTGTGACCTATATTCTGTTTGCAGTGAAAACGTACCGATAATTTTTTTCTTTAAACAAAAAAGTAAATCAAATATAGTGAAATTTAGACTGCGAATCCTCATAATTTTACCTTGCCAATTGAACATTTAAATCTCAGAATGTTATTCAGCATACGATAAAAGTTATTTAACAAACAATCATAAACGATCATAGA